CCCCTCTCCCTCCTCCCCAGGTGACATCCCACTTGTCTCCAACAGGACAACGGAAGTAATGTTCCTCTGTTGTGACTCCGGAAGGAATGACTGGAACAGGATACCATTCATACAGAAGGGGGAATCTGACTAGACGTAGCATCATAGCCCCAGGTCATTGTTTAGCAGAGATTCCAGTCAAAGTATTGTTATCAGGAGAAATATGCCTTCCCTCATGCAGACTAGACTGGGGGTTCAGATAGAGAAGCACCCAGAGTGGCCCCCGAGTCTTCTTGTATGCATTTGAAAAGCACCCACAGTCATGCATTGCAGGTGGAGACAGACCTCCCTGAGATGGAGGTACCCACATTCATGCACTGCAGGTGGAGATGGGCCTCCCTGAGATGGAGGTACCCACAGGCACCTTGCCCTCATTCCTCTCTCTGACCCTATCTCAGCCTTCTCTCCAGAGAAGTCATTAGAAGCCAGGGCAGGCAGTCTTGCCATGTTGCTCAGGCTGGTTTTGAACTCTTAGGATCAAATAATCCTTCTGCCCCAGCCTCCTGAGTAGCTGGGATTACACGTGAGGTTCACCATGCCCAGCTGGACAGACACTAGTGACACTGACTGGCAGAATTTGTAGCTTCTTGAGAAAGCCTCAGGACTGGAGTGCATCAGTTATTCCTTGGGGGAGCTTCTGAGCTGAAGGAGAATGCATGAATGCCTGGCAGTAAGGGTTAAAAAGGATGTAGAATGGCCACAGGGAGGACTGAGGGAATGAGAGTGCTCTGAAGGTGTAGTCGGTGAGTCCTCCACGGCGGCCCCAAAGAGGAGATTCAGAGGTGACAAATGCATCCGCACTCAACAAAAGATGCCAGAGGACTGCCGATGGGTTCCCTAAAACAAGTGTGTGACCTCAAGCCCAGGGCTGCCTGCAGGTTCTGCATCTGGGGTGAGAGTGATCTGCAAGGCAGATTCCTGATGATCTGGAGGGCTGGGTGTTCCCTCATCCTTGTTAGGAAAAGGAGAGGGGTTCCTAGGTCAGGTGAGGGGGTTTTTAAGGAGGTACTTGCAGAGCATGATGTGGCCCCTGGAATCTGGAGGACCCAGAGAGAGAGGGTGCCTGATCTCAGCCTGTCTGTAGCATTCTGAAAACAAAAGTCTGACCTAAGGCCCCCTTGGCTGCAGGGTGGGAGAACAAAGTGTGAGCAGCCTGCTTTCCCAGAGTTCAGAGGAGTGACTGCGTGCTCCCCATGAACCAGAGTGGATGCTGCAGAAGGTTATCAGGCTTGAGCTGTCTTGAAAGGGTCTCTCCCAACAGGTCCACCTGCAGCCAGAAGTGACCACAAATGAAGAGACTGTGGATCTCCAAAAGCAGAAGCTGGGAGGAGCAATCAAAATGGCAGGCCCATGGGGCATCACCTGCATGATTGCACCCATGAACCATGCAGGGGACATCACTTGTACCACTGCACCTGTGGGCCATGCAGTGGATGTCACCTGCACCCCTGCACCTGTGAGCCATGCAGAGGGCATCACCTGCACCATTGCACCTGTGAGCCATGCAGAGGGCACCACCTGCACCTTTGCACCTGTGAGCCATGCAGAGGGCACCACCTGCACCATTGCACCTGGGAACCATGCAGAAGGCATCACCTGCACCCCTGCACCCGTGAGCCATGCAGTGAGTGTCACCTGCACCCATGAGCCATGCAGGGGGCATCACCTGCACCTCTGCACCCCTGAACTGTGCAGTGAGCAGGGGACTCCAAGGTGATTTTCCAGAGGGACATTTTCACAGAACTCACCATAATCAGAGCTAGCATTTGGGTACTGTCTCCCCTTCCTACACTTTGTCTCCCCATTCTTCCTCTACCTCCTCATGGAGACCAGGCCAGTCTGGGGGATGGGATATGAGTTTAGGGTGGTAGACTAATCCTGAAGCAGCAGCTAGCTCTGCTGTCTCCCCCACTGTGGGTTTCCAAGACCAATGCAGGTCGATGCTGGACAGAGGGCAAGAAACTTTAAATGAGAGACCTGAGAGCTTTTATATCAGATTAATCTAGACCCTAAAAGACTGAGACTGCTTATTAAGACTTAAACCTGGTTAGGAAAGCTGTGAATTGGAGATATATATATGTGGGTGAGTTGAGGTGATGACAAGGAAGCATAGTTTTTTATTTTTACTTACCCTGCACCAAGTCTAGCTCATTTGATGAACCAGTGTTGTCAGCCACACTGGGGCCTTATTCCCCATCATGGAAACCTTGGACCCATACATGGATAAGAAAGCTTTCAGAAATCTTGTGGGCTTTGCATAAACTAAAATTTTGGCCAGCAAACAGACACAAAGCTGCACCCTAAATTTGTCTAACCTTTCTTAAAGTTAGCCATCCTGAGAGAAGGGGACCACTCTAGTGTCGACTCTCCTGAAGCTCCAAGGACTGCTTAGGCAGGATTCATGATCCTGCTCGGTGAGCACCCATCTTTTCACATGGAGCCTGGCATCACCCTGCACTGGCTTCAGGGGAGGTAAGGGTAGCCACAGCCAGGCAGCCTAAGGGCTTCTGCACTAACATCCTGGGAGTTGATTCTTCCTTCCTGGTGAGGGCTGTTGATTCCAGGCACAGACCCAAGAATTGGAAAATGTCAGGCTCTGCTCAGCAAGTCCCTTCTGTGATTGAGAGAAATGGATGAGTTTGAAGGGAATACAAATGGGGGAAGCACTTAAAATGACTGAATAAGCCCGCAAGCCTTTTTGCAACCTTTTAGAGGGAGCAGAGAAAGAGTAAGGTGGGGAGATTCCTTCTAGGAGTCTCACCCTCAAGTACGGGAGATGTTACTTTTCTGTGCAAATGAATACTTCAATATTTCTCCCACTTGACTTTTTTTCTTCTTCTTCCTTTTTTTTTTAAAGGTGGAGTGTGTGTGTGTGTGTGTGTGTCAGAGAGAAAGAGAGATGGTATATTAGTTTTCTAGCGCTGCTGTAACCAATTACTACAAACTATGTGGTTACAACAACAGACATTTATTCTTGAAGTTCTGGAACCTAGAACTCCAAAAATCAAAGTTTCAGCAGGGTCACGTTCTCTTTCTGAAGGTTCTGCGGAAAATTGCTCTTCTAGTTCAGGTGGCTCCAGGCATCCCTCGGCTTGTGGCAGCCTCACCTGATCTCTGCCTTCATCTGTACATGGCCCTCTCCTCTGTGTGCCCATATCTTCTCTTCCTCTGTCTCTTATACAAATACTTGCCATCGAATTTAGAGCCAACCTGAATACTCCAGGATGATCTCATCTTGAGATTCTTAATTACATCCAAAAAGACCCTTTTTCCAAATAAAATTACAGTCAGACTCCTAGTGGATGTGCTTTTTGTTGGGGAGGGGGACACCATTCAACCTACTGCAGAAGACCAAAAGACAGAAATGAAATGATAAATTGTTTAGGGTCCGGGAATAAGGAACTGGGGTTCATGGGAAAGCTCTTCCATTTGAGGAGTATGCATCCAGCCCCTCCTTGTCTCCACACGGTATGCCCCAGTGGGGGTCTCTATACCATTGCCTCTCTTGGTATCTCTGGTCTTAGTCAGGTGGGGGCACTGGGATCAAAAGGAGATAGCTGTGCTCTCCCAGGGCTTTGTAAGAAGACCATGCCTCTTTTCAGTGGCACACAACAAGAGCATCAGTGTGAGTAAGGAGTCAGAAAGGACTTATCTTTCTTAAAATAAAAAAAAAAATCAATTGCCTGTAAGGAAGCCAAAGCCTGTTTCTCCAGGACCAACTCTTTAAATGGATACCACTCTCTGAAGGATAATTAAAAGTCCTTTGTAAATTCTGAAGAGCTATAGAAACATGAGATTTCTTCATATCATCGTCATTAATCCAAGGAAATAAACCCTAACAACAGCAAGTACCTTCTGAACACTGAGCGCGTTCCACATACTGCAGGTGGACGTGGGCCACACCACACATTTTACGTTCCACATACTGCAGGTGGACGTGGGCCACACCACACATTTTACGTTCCACATACTGCAGGTGGACGTGGGCCACACCACACATTTTACATTCCACATACTGCAGGTGGACGTGGGCCACACCACACATTTTACGTTCCACATACTGCAGGTGGACGTGGGCCACACCACACATTTTACGTTCCACATACTGCAGGTGGACGTGGGCCACACCACACATTTTACATTCCACATACTGCAGGTGGACGTGGGCCACACCACACATTTTACGTTCCACATACTGCAGGTGGACGTGGGCCACACCACACATTTTACTCCCAAAGCCTCAGTTAGTCTCTCGTCTCATTTCCTTTTTTTTTTTTTTTTTGACAGGGTCTCAGTCTATCATCTAGGCTGGAGTGCAGTGGTGCAATCATGGGTCACTGCAGCTCTGACCTCTTGGGCTCAGGCGATTCTCCCACCTCAGCCTCCCCAAGTAGCTGGAACCACAGGCATGCACCACCACACTCAGCTAATTTTTTTTGTTTTTTGTAGAGGTTATGCCATGTTGCCCAGGCTGGTCTCAAACTGTTGGGCTGAAGCGATCCTCCCACCTCTGCCTACCAAAATGTTGGGATTACAGGTATGAGCTACTGCACCCAGCCTCAGTTTCCTTATTTTTTAAATGGAAATGAAAACACCTCCTTCTCCAGTTGTTCTGAAAATCACATTAAGTAAAAGAGCTTGCCCAAGGTCATACAGCCAGGGAGTGATTCAAATCCAAATTTTTCTGATTCCAGAAATGCTGAACTGAAATCCAGTGGATTGTCCCCCCAATTTGTGTGACTTTTTTAAAGGGGCAGTTTCTGCTGGGGGTGACTTTTTTACACTCTTGGGAATTGTCTTCTCCCCCTTCAGATTCTTCACCTGTCCATATTTTAGAAAAATGAGGGACAGGTGGATCTTCAGGGGGGTAGACTTGGTGTGGAGCAGCCTATTCTGGGCTGAGCAACTGGGCATTCTCTGATTTTCTGATCCCAAGTCTCTAAGCCATGGTTCTGCTGTACCTCAAACAGGCTTGTAGAAAACCGCAGGACTCTGGGCACTGGGCTGCTCTTCTGCAGGAATGTATGGACACCTGGGTAGAGGAAGGATGCCTTCATGGAGGTTCAGCCTGGCTGGGGAGAGAGAAATCCGAGCATAAGCAGAAGAGTGTAACATCGAGTGTTGGTAGGAGAGCAAACGGTAAGTAACAGGGTGCAGGGAAGTGGACAACGGGAAGGACGTGCTTTGTTCAAGTCACAGCTCTGGTCCACCCACCTCCGTGAAGCTGACTTCACGCCTGCTGCTGGCCCCCTTTCTGACGGCAGGAGGCAGGCTGACATCCTGTCTCCTCTTGCCAGGAATCTCAGCCAGTGACTCTAGGGTGGGAAGAGGGAAGAGTGGTTCCATGGATCTGCCTGACACTCGGGTTTCCCAGACTCCTCTGCCCTTCAAGGCTCACACGCCCAATAATGCCCTGAAAACAGTGGTTCAAGCCCTGTACTCCTGGGACTCCCCCAGGAATGTTGTCCTCACTGTGAGGGGCACCTCATCAGCCATCTGGCTCTCCCCAAGCTTGAACCCTGTACTACTTGTTAATTCTAATTATAGATTGTAATGGTTAATGAAGTTTTGATGAAAGCTTGGGGATAACAGGAGGTTTGGCTACTCTTGGAGTCCAGGGGTCAAGCCTCCCTCAAGGTCTCCACTGCACACCATTCTCTATGGTTACAGTGAAGAGGCCAACTCAGCTCCCAAAGAACCATGTCTCTGCAACTTTGAGTCCAGGCAGGTATTTTTCTGAGGCTCCCATAGAAGAAGAAAAAACAGCTGTTTCCAAGAGAAAAGTCATGTGAGACTTGCAACTCTGCCCTCAATGAAGACATTTCAACTACACAAAATGTGTATATCGTCTCTACCCCAGAAGATGGTCTGGGATATACATGTTTCATAACCCAAAGGTTTATTGAAGTTTTATTCTGCAATTTATGATGCCTGTCCTCTATCTCTAGAGAAACAGAAACATAATAGGGAGGTTTGGAAAGAGCAGTTCCGTCCTACATTGATATTCTTTAGGGAAAAATAAAAATAAAAAGAACTAGAGCCATAAGCAAAGAGTAAATGGATGGAAAGAAGGAAGAATGGAGGGGGGGAAGGAAATAAGAAGGGGAGGAGAAAGTCTTGTTAGATGCTGGCTTTGCAAACCACTAGCTGTCAGCTTAGTTACAACTCCTTAAAGCCCTGGTCCCCTCATCTGCTCGGGGATACAATAGCACAAAAGAAAAACTTCGCCCCTGAGAAGTACAAATTCTCTATGAGACCTTTGAGGTATCTGAATAAGGTTAAAAAGAATGTTTCTCTCTAAAAACTCCTTAATCCCTTTCAGACATGGAGTGTTCCCTACACCAGGCGGCTGGTTGTACCCGATACAGTGGCATAGACTTCACAGTTAACTATTCCTCATCATGAGTAATTTTTTTAAATTAAGAATTCAAGGCATGCAATGATCCAATTGCAATGATTTTCTCTTAAAGATAATATCCCTTAAAATAGCATTACAAATTAGTAATCCAATTTGTAGCAAGATTTTTAAAAATTAAACTCCAGCTTTCTAAGTTAGCATCTCCTTACATTAAACTATCAAATGTGACTCAGCTTAATCTTGGCTCGCTGGTTTACGTTATTATCCCAAATGTTTAGGTCTGTAATTTCCTAGCAGTACCATTTCTTTGAGGCTCTACAGATTTCCATGTTTAAGAAAAGAATGAAAGGAAAAGGGAAGTGAAGGAAAGGGAAGGGAAGAGAAGGGAAAGGAAGGGCGAGAGGGGGAAAAAAGAGAAGGGAACGAAAAGGAAAGAGAAAAGAAAAAGAAGAAAAGAAGGGAGACACAAAAAGAAAAGAAAAAAGCCTCTTGATTTAGTAGGGTGCTATGTTACTTCTGCTTCCAAGTCCTACCAATTAGCTCCAGCACATGGCTTTTCTTGGCAGCTTTCTGCTTCCCATCCCAGATGGTATGGAAGAGTCTGGCTGCTGACTTTCTGGCTCTTCTTTCCTACTTCCTCTCTGCACAGCTAATTTAAGAAAGTCTACACGATACCAGGACAACTGTCAGCCCTGCCTCATTTCCCCTGCCTCTGCCTTCTCCAGCCACCCACAGCCGCGGCTGCCCCCCTCTAGCATCCGAGCCTGATTTGACAGCAACAGGAAATAAATCAGCATCCTAGACCACACAGGGTGGAATTCAGCTGTACCCCCTTCCCTGTGAGGATCCAGTGACCCATATATACTTCTGGGCTCCTGCAAGCTCCAGCTGCCCTTGGGCATTTTCTTTGCTGCCAACCATGTCCGGGTCCTAGTCAACAAGGCAAGACCTGTAGGCTTACATAGCTCATACTTGAGCACGCCTCGCCCTTCCAGTGTGGGTCCACTCCATGGACCTAGGCTACTACCTGGCCCTGAGTAGCTCCTCAATCACCCTAGGCAGGGCAGTCCTAGTATCTACAGTTCATAGCCATATCCTGGTTCTTCCCACCTCATGCCATGGGGTCTGCTCATTTCTCAATGCCTACTGAGGAGTAGGCAGGATTTAACAGGCCATATGTGGACCCCACTATGATTATAGGCCCTGCTGGGGCCAGCATCTCTGCCTGGACACACTCCTAATCCACACACTCACTTCCTGCACTTGGCTTTTGGAATGTATGTGTAAGCAATGAGACAGGAACTCCCTACTGATGGCTGATGTGACAGAACCCCACTGCTGCCAGGGAAGAGCCAGGCGTCCTGCGGCTGCTCGGTGCCCAAAACTAACAGCTGCAATTGGGCCAGGAGTAGAACCTGCTCAGGTCAAAGGAGTCTTTGTGAAGCACAGCTCTGACCCATTGCTCCCCTGCTCCATGATTTTTGATGCTTTCTTATTGCCTGCAAAAAAGCTTGACCCACAAATTCCCTTACAATCTGGGTTTGTGGTTTTCCAGCTTCACTTCCCAATGTACCCCTACACAAGTCCTTCCTCCAGCCCCCAGAGACTAGCGACTATTCCTCACACACACCAGGAAGTTCAGCAGCTTTGGGCCCTTGTTCATCTCCGTGTACTCCCAGAATCCTGTTCCTGTGTCTTAGCACATTTTATTTTAATTAGCGGTTTACCTGCCTGTCTGTCCACTGGATTTTTGATGTCCTCAAAGACACATTCAGTCTCTTATTCCTCTTTCCATTGCCAATATCTGCAATGCAGTAGGATCGCTGTAAGCCTTCAATGCATATTTGTTGTTAAAAAGTTGGTCCAGAAAATTGATGACCCACATCAAAGATGAGGGCTCAGGGTGTGAACCATGGTCAGGAAGGAACAAGGGGACACAGGCTCAGAAAGTCATAAGGAAGCCCAGAATCACTTTTGGCTACAGAAATCACAGAGGGCTTCATCAGGAAAATCACGTTTGCATTGTGTCCTGGAGGACGATGGGATTTCAGCAGGTAGAGATGTGGAGGGTATTGCTGTAGCAGAACTTTTTAAGAAAAAGCAGAGAAGTGGGAAGAGGCAGAGAATGTTCAGGAAAAAGTGGGTACAATTTTCCTAGAACATGGGCTAAGTGAAGGTGGGTGGAGCAGGTGCCAGAAAAGCAGCAGGGGCCACATCCTTGCCAGCGGCAATGCCAGGCTCAGCACCACGAGTGTTTTCAGATGCCGTGGCAAACCGTGGGAGGCGGTCTATGCTGTGAAAGGGTTGGGGAGTGATGTAATGATTCAGGCTGGGCTGTCACTTCTGCCTTTGCCAGGAAAGTTATTAGAGTAAGGTGCTAATGTGGCAGTCGCCAGGGGTGAGCTCACTGACGCAGGAGTGAATTGAACATCCGGGAGGGGCCAGGGAAGCCACCTTCACTGTCACTCATTGCCACACTGTAAACGGGGCCACAGATCTAACTGGTTCAGTTTCACTTATTGGTGTCATTTAGATAGTGTCTGATAGAGGAAGTAGAGGAAAGTGTTCAAAAGCTGAAAGGCCAAGACAATGGCTATGTCTTGGTCCCGACAGCAAATGTGAGCAAACCCAAAGGTGGGTGGGATGTCATCGAGTTAGTCCCCAGTGTGAGTAGAAAGGCTGTGCTCAGACTGCCGGGCTACGCTGCTTGCCTTAGCAGGGACCCAAGGGCTGGCCTTTCAAAGGCCCCGCTTCTAGAGGCTGAGGATCGGTCTACAGCCCCGTGCTTCCAGCCTCTTCATCTCGTTCCTGTCAGTGTCCGCAGAAACTCAGGGAAAGAAAGAGCCTGGGCTCCAGTAATAAATAAAAGCACTCACTGAGAGGCCGATGGCTGGCAAATAGGGCTGCTGCCTGCTTTGTTCTTCACTTTTCTTCTTCTCTTAGTTCAATCTCAAACACGATTGTCGAAACAGAGCTCCAAGCCATGCCTTTCTCAAGTGATTTGCCTTGACCTTGAGCATCCAGGGCAGAGCAGATCCCAACCCCATCACTCAGAGCTCCCCTACTTTCTCCAAGCCTCATTCATCACAGCTGTTAGTAATGTGGCCCCCATGGCCTCCCATCTAATGCCTGTACTTCCTCTGCAGACCAAACCAAGAGCTCCTGTAGGCAGGGGCTGCGCGGAGCTTGTTTTCTGGGCCCCCACTCCTGATGAGCGTGGCCTTCAGGCACTGGTGCTCCAGTTTATAGATCAGGGTGGGAAGTAGGCAGAAGCGTGTAGGCATTTGCATAAGGCTCTGGACATAGAACACTCAGTGCCACTGTTCTGGGGTCTAGGACAAAGCCTGCCCCACCGTGCAAAGGGCAGGGTGGTGCTTCACTCCATCCTGTTTTATTCCCAGCTGGCTTCTGAAGCCCCGGCTGCAGTCAGTTTGATATGATTGAAACAGAGCTTCAGGGAGGAGAAAGGAGGCAGAGGACTAAATATCCTAGAATATTTCTTCCATTAAGCTCTTTCAATGAGGGGGAAAAAAACAACAAAATGATTTTTCCATTTTAAAAAAGAAAAAGACAAACCCAGCAGGAGATTGAGAAAATGAATGAAAGGCTTATTAGTCAGGGAAGTATTTTGTTTACTCCCTGCAAGCTGCATTCCACAATTACTACCTTTCATCTGTTAACAAAAAAACCCTGATCAAATGATAGGATGAATTGTCTGCCTGAGCCTCGGAAGGATTTACTGAGGCAAAATCTCAAAAAAAGAATGTGTGGCAGAGTGCTGCTCCTTCCAGTAACACTGTAGGTGGCAGGTAATTCCAAGGGCTATGCTGATCCTACCGCCCGAGATGAAGCATTTGGGACATCACAGCCTCCCTCCATCGAAAGGAAAATAATGAAGACTGATTTAAAAACAGCAGCAACCACAACACTGGATTTTGACCCTTAAGAGCCAAAGAGGAGCTGGGCACGGTGACTCATGACTGTAATCCCAGCACTTTGGGAGGCTGAGGTGGGCGGATAACCTGAGGTCAGGAGTTTGAGGCCAGCCTGGCCAACATGGTGAAACCCTGTCTCTACTAAAAACACAAAAATTAGCTGGGTGTGGTGACAGGTGCCTGTAATCCTAGCTACTTGGGAAGATGAGGCAGGAGAATCTTTTGAACCTGGGAGGTGGAGGTTGCAGTGAGCCAAGACCACGCCACTGTACTCCACAGAGTAAGACTCCAACTCAAAAAAAAGCCAAGGAAGGATGCCTGCCTACCTTGTGAGCAGTAAGGACACACCAGCTCTGCCATTCTGGACCCAGGAGCCCCTGGGGCCACGCTGTGAGGACGGCCCACCCTGGGCTCTAGAACAAGAGAACAGACCCTCCCCAAGGCCCGCCAATCACTGCATTACCCGATTCCGTCCTGTCTCCAGCCCTGTGGGTTAAGGAAGTACTATAAGTTTATTAGCTCATTCTCGCACTGCTATACAGATGCTACCTGAGACTGAGTGATTTATAAACAAAAGGGTTTAATTGACTTATAGTTCCACATGGCTGAGGAGGCCTCAGGAAACTTAAAATCATACAGAAGGTGAAGGGGAAGCAAGGCACGACTTACATGGTGGCAGGAGGGAGAGAGCATAAGGGAAACTGGCACTTTTAAACCATCAGACCCTGTGAGAACTCCCTCATTATCATGAGAACAGCAGGGGGAAGCTGCCCCCGAGACCCAGTCACCTCCCACCACGTCCCTCCCTCCAAACATGGGGATTTCAATTCAAGATGAGATTTGGGTGGGAACACAGAGTCAAACCATATCAGTGATTATCTCCATTGTTCAGATAAGAAAGCAGAAGTCCAGAGAGGTTAAGTAGCCTGTCCAAGCTCACACAGCTAGTAGAATTTGAAGTCAGGCCTGTCTGAAACCAAGGCTTGAGACTTTGACTTTTTTCAAGCCCTGCCAATTGCTCACACCAGAGCCTCTATCAAAAGCCAGAGCCTAAGTATGTGGGGAGAGCAGGGACACACACCGTATCCAACCTACCCTTCCGAAGATATCCCAACCCTAACCCCACCCCTCCCAGAACTTCCAGGAACGATCCCCCATTCTATGGATCCATCCAGTCACGGATAAGCTTTGCCTCAATATTCTGGAATATTGCAAATAGAAAATAGAAACATCAGGCCTCATGAATAGCAGCTAAAACAACCAAATTAATCTTCATGGCCTCTTCCTTTCCCTTCTTTTTGGTCTGTATCAGAACAAGCAGGAGGAAAAGTGAGCATATCTACCAATGATGGTGGTTTTCTTCACCTTCTCTATTCTCCTATATTCAGCTACCTGGAAGGCTAAAGGGGTGGGAAATGTCAGGAACAGAGTAAATATAGGCGGATGGCATTTTCAAATGTCTAATCATTTTTGAAAGCCAGTTGCAAAGTCCAATGCATGGAACTGCATGTCTTTGCTAGACTACACCACACACTTCATTCCTGGGAATCTCTATCCAGAGACTGGCAAAGCTTGGCGTCACCTTAGTGACCTACTGAGCTGCCCCAAGAGGGAGAGACCTTCTCCCACACTGCACAAAATATTCACTGGAAATGGGGTGCCCAATTTTACACAAAGGATTTTTTTTTTTTTTTTTGAGACAGGGTTTTGCTGTTGTTACCCAGGCTGGAGTGCAATGGCACGATCTCGGCTCATCGCAACCTCCGCCTCCTGGGTTCAAGGAATTCTCCGGCCTCAGCCTCCTGAGTAGCTGGGACTACAGGCACGCGCCACCATGCCCAGCTAATTTTTATATTTTTAGTAGAGATGGGGTTTCACCTTGTTGACCAGGATGGTCTCAACCTCTTGACCTCGTGATCCACCCACCTTGGCCTCCCAAAGTGCTGGGATTATAGGAGTGAGCCACCGCGCCCGGCCACACAAAAGATTTATGTAAGAAATCAGGGTTCATGACTGGATGTGGTAGCTTACAGCTGTAATCCCAGCAGTTTGGGAGGCCGAGGCGGGCAGATCACTTGCACTTAGGAGCTCAAGACCAGCTTGGGAAACATAGTGAAACCCCATCATTACCACAAATACAAAAGATTAGCTGGGTGTGATGGCATATGCCTGTGGTTTCAGCTATTCGGGAGGCTGAGATAGGAGGATCACTAAAGCCTGGGAGATGGAGGCTGCAGTGCGCTGTGATTGAGCCACTGTACTACAGCCTGGGTGACAGAGTGAGAAAGAAAAAAGGAGGGAAGGAGGGAAGGAGGGAGGGAGGGAAGGAAGGGAGGAAGGGAGAAAGGAAAGAAGGGAGGAAGGGAGGGAGGGAAAGAAGGAGGGAGGGCAGGAGGGGAGGGGAGGATTAGATAACACAAGGTCTGACACCTAGCATTTTTGTTTGCATTGGTCGAAGGAGGCATGAAACACGGTTCCCTCATTTGTGTGAGTAAACCCTAGCAAGACTTCTTTGTCATCTGTCTCCTGTGTGACTTTGCAAGAGCTCTGAGGGAAGGCTCCCGTGAAGCCAAACCTTTCATCACCTGTCTTGGGCATTGGTTATACAGTGCCTGGCAGGCTTCGCACGGCGGGGCTGGTGGAAAGACAAAGAGTGGCTTCTCCTTCCTGAGGGCAGTGGAGTGTCAGGATGGCTCAGTAGCCATCCTGTACTTCCATGAAAGACCAAAGCCATAAAAAGTCACCTTGCCTCTGCATGCCATTCATCCCAAATGAGGAAACACAGACTCTGGGAAAACCAACCACAGAAAAGCTCTCCAAATGCACGGAACCAAGCAAGACACCTCCTTCTGAGCAGCCATGTCTTGTCCGGTGGAGAGCTCAGCTGCTCCTGCTATCCTGCACGCTGCCTCTGCTTCTTTCCGGTGGAAACATACTAGGACACAGCGATGCTCTCTCCCCACTATAAATTCAAAAAATTAAAAGAGCACCAAAGAAAAGAGAATTTTGGAAAGGAAGTAAGCAGCTGTCAGAATAAATTTATATGAAACAAACACTCAAATATTGATCTACTCCCAAGATTTCCAAAACCTATCTATAAGCCCACAGTCGAATTGCTTGTGAAAGCTTTTTGCACAATAAGCGCTGAATAGGAATGTCAGTTGGCAGTAGAAAAAGATCCTTAAGGGACAAATGATTATCTACAGATAGACAGAAATAATTCACAGCACTATTTTTATTAGAACTTACCCCACACAGCCCTCCTTGAGTCGGCCGATGAGGAAGTAGATTGCAGTATTTATTTGTGGCAGATGTGTACTTTCGGTTTGCGCTGCATGACCTTTTTGGGGAATGCCGCCCCCCACCCGCTGTGATTTCCTGGAGCTGTTGCTCCTGGGACTTTACCCTCTACATCCAGCAGCGAGCACGGACTGTGTCCTTGTTGTCTAAGGGAGGCAGCTTCCGAGGGCGCCGCACAGCGGTCCCACCTCCTCGTGTTCACACCCTCATGGAGCCCTTGCCTGCAGTGAACCACAGCTGGTCTAAACTGACCAGTGATGGCAGAAAGGATGGTATGTGTCACTTCCGAGGTTAGGTTTTACAAGACTGAAGCCTCTACAGTGGGTTCTCCTTGTCTCTTCTTTTCTTTTCTCTTTCTCTCTTGGATATGCTGTTCTGGAAAAAGCCACTTGCCATTTGAAAAGGACACTCAGGCAGCCTATGAAGAGGCCACATGGCAAGGTGCCCAACAGCCAGTGAGGAAGTGAGGCCTGAAAGCAGCCATATGGGTGAGTGTGGACGAGATCCTCCAGCCCCCATTGAGCCTTGAGAAGAAGAACCAGACAACAGCTTGACTGCAGCCTTGTGAGAGGCCCTGAGCCAGAACTACCCAACTAAGCTGCTTGCAGATTCCTGACCAGAGAAATTGGTTTAGGTAATATATACATATATATTACCTAATATATATATGCAATCTCGGCTAACTGCAACCTCTGCCTCTCGGGTTCAAGTGATTCTCCTGCCTTAGCCTCCCTAGAAGCTAGAATTATAGGTGCATGTCAACATACCCAGCTAATTTTTGTATTTTTAGTAGAGACGGGGTTTTACCATCTTGGCCAGGCTGGTCTTGAACTCCTGACCTCATGATTCACCTGCCTCAGCCTCCCAAAGTGCTGGGATTACAGGTGTGAGCCACCACACCTGGTGGTAATACATATTTTAAGTTTCTAAGTTTTGGAGTAATTTGCTCAGCAGCAATAACTATACATTGAACAATCAGACTCTGCCAAAGCCCTAAACAGACTAAAGACCGTGATTGGCCCAGAGTGGAAACATAAGCTAAGCAGAGCTCATCAGAATCCTTTTCAGGAACTGATATGGATACCAGGTGACAGAGAGTCAGGCCATCTTCTCTGGGATCATGACTGTGGCTACAAGAGTGTGGCTCTCAATTAGAGGCTATACTGCCCCGCTAAGGGGCATTTGGAAATGTGGGGGACGTATTTAGTGGTCACAATGTATGGAGGCTCTGCTGGCATGCCAGGGTTGCTAAATACCCTGCAATGCATGGGACAGTCCCACATAACAAAGAAGTATCCATTCCACATTGTCACTAGCAGTTGGGTTATTGATGTTTGCCACCAAAAGAACCATGACTATTTCATCATCCAACCATCCATTTATTCAAACAATATTTATTCAGCCTTGACTATTTGTAAGGCACTAGTTTAAATCCTGAGGGTACATAGGTAAAAAGAATCAATCCCGAATGACAGACTTAACTGGCAATTCCAATACAAGATACATACTCTCCCTACTACCCTTTAATGCTCTGGAAATACAAGAGCAGAACATCAGCTCAGTCTAATGGTAGGAGGTAGTCAGGGAAGATCTCACTCAGATTAAAAAAGAAATTGATAACTTATAAGAGACATTCCAGAAATGCCAGCAGAAAGAGTAGAGGAGCCTTGTTTGATAAACAAGTGACTCATTGCCCAGGCCAAAGCTTTTAATATATCCTACTTCTGGCTGTTGAGACTGAGATCACAGTGATTCAAGAATCACTTACAGGCCGTTTGGGAAAACACAGATTAATAAGACAAAGAGGCATTGATCCAATAAACTGTTCCTTATAAAGCACTCGGGTCATCTTCTTTCTCTACTTCCTTTTGATCACTAGTATTTCACGGCCAGAAATAAGTCTCTATTATGAAAGGAACTCTGCTTTTTAAAAGTGACAAAGGGAGGAAGATATTTTTCCCCTACCAGGCTCAGGTTAGAGCAGTCAAAAGCATTTTCATTTGCTCCCAACATTTTCACATCTCCTTCACCAGTACACAGGTTACAGGAGGGAACTATACACTATGAATTGGTGCTGTTGCAGTCACACTGTTTCATAGCACCAGAGGGGAAAATAGACAGTCCTCAGTGTCAGGGAGGCTCTCAGTCCCCAGTGAGCACCCAAACTGGGTCTAGGGCATACGTGGAGGAAGGAGTAGCCAATGAATTTTTTCCCAGATATCTCTATATCCCAAACTAGCTCCCCCTAACCCTGAAATTCACACACCACCAATCAATCATATTGTAATATCAACTGGAGGTCTACAGAGAATAAGGTGTTATTCCAGGCATATAGGAAAACAGAGGGAAAGGGACATATTCCTTGTTCTCAAGGAAGCTATAATCTAATTAAGGAGATACTCATGAAGTGACAAGAATTCACTGTCACAGAGCTGGCTGAACCACAATAGAAGACTGAATAGGAGGCGGTTCACAGATACCTGCCTGGGCCTTCCCCTGGGCCTGCAGAATGGGTAGTGTTTGATCAAGAAGAGAGAAGGAAGAATGCTCTCACTAATGGAAATGAATAGAATTCCTTAATAGAATGCGCAGAGATGGGAGGGAGCCGTCCAAACAGCCAGACTGACAGGCCAGAAACCGTGTGCTGGGAAACAGAATCCAGGAGATGGGGTGAGCCAGACTAGGGCACCAGGGAAAGGCCAGTGTCCAGCCAGCAACCCATTGCCTCTCAGCCCCAAATCCATCCCTCTGTACCTGCTTTGTGACAAGGGAGTTCGGGTGTTTCTCCTTTGCACCAAACACAATATTCAGCTTTGTCAGTAGAGTGCTCTGGGTCTATGCAGGAGGAAGGGGCTTTTCCTCCGGGGGTCTGGCTTGCTGCTGTCTTTTCCTGCCTCTAGCTGCATGACTCTTATCATGGGCCCTGCCATGTGCCCAGAGTGTGCAGTCTTCAGGTTCATGACCCAGCCCTGCCTCTTGGCCACCCATGGTGACCACCTCACCGTGATGTTCCTAATGCATACCTGGCATGGCCCAGTATTCACTTCCCTGCTGGACAGTACCCCCTTGACAGCCCTCAGCCCTCCATGCACTCTCCCACCAGCTTGCAGAATGGAGGTCTGTGGAGAGTAAGGCATGATTCCAGGCATATAGGAAAACAGAGGGAAAGGGACAGAGGGCCTTAGCCTCTACCCAAGACTGCTGTTCTCTCCTTGCCCATACCCAAGACCATTGTTTTCTCCTTGCCCAGCAACCATGGGCAATCCAGGGAACCTTTCTGTCACCCAGTGGGCTACAACCACACCTTCTCTGATGCAGTCAGAACCCCAGCCTTGCAGAGGGGTCTTCTTTAAGCTCATCCTTCCCCAGTTGCTCTCCATCAGCCTCAGGGTCGCCTTCAGAGTTTTCTTTACATCTTCTCATTACTTCCCTGTTACAAGTAATCTTTATATTAAACATCCCACATTCAAATTACTGTGTGGTTTCTGTTTCCGGATTGGACCCTAAATGATACAGCCAGGTAGAGAAATCCAGATGATGTGGGCAAGGGGCCCAGGCAAGTGGAGGTGTGGGTGTGTGTGCTAAAGAATGGGGTGGAGGTGCTGGCCTAGCAGAGCAACAGGTGCCAGAGCTGTTTTGTTCCTGGTCCAGCTGATAATCTCAGGAAAATGAAGAAGAGTAGAAGGGATGAGAAAAGGAAAGGGAGAGAGAGCAGAGGAGGGGAGGAAGAGCGAGAACCATAGTTGTGGAGATCTCCTTCCTCCAGTGTCCCAGCTGCCCGTCCATCCCTCATTGGCTCTTGGTAGATGTCCCTGATCCTGCTGACCCCCAGCCTGAGAGCCAGCATGCTGACATGTTTGAGAATAATGGGTCTGAGAGGAGCTTGGGGAGTGGCCTGCAGTGGGTGGCTGATATGGTCTGAATGTGTTCCCCAAAGTTTATGTGTTGGATACTTAATCCCCAATCCAACCATGTCAGGAGGTGGGGCCTATTGGAGGTTGTGAGAGCTCTACCCTCATGGCTGGATCAATGCTGCTATAAAAAGAGCTTGCAGGAGTGTGCTCAGTCTCTCACTCTTCTGCCATGTGAGGACACAACATTCATCCCCTCTTATCCTTCCACCATCTACTATGTAAGGACACAGCAAAACGGTCCTCACCAGACGCCAACACCTTGATCTTGGATATATCCCATCCTCCAGAACTGTGAGTATATAAATTTGTGTTCTTTATGAATTAGTCAGTCTGGGATGGTTTGTTATAGCAGCACAAAATGGACTAAGATAGTGGCAATGAGGGTGGAGGAAACAATTCAGAAGTGAGGTTAGCTGTCTATGGGACCAGATAGTCCAAAGGAAGAACGGACAGGGACTGGTCACAGGCTAGGTCTAAGCAACAAAGGATTCTGGAAACAAACATGCAAACCCAAGCAGTAGTTATTTCTAGGAAACCTCCCTTAAGAAAAGAGAAAAGGAGAGGATTGGCCTCACCCTTGTGTGCATTCCTTGGCCAGGTCATTGGCCTTTCTCACCTTAGCTTCTGTACGTACACAGTAGGGATGCTAACACCGGCTGCAAAGAATGATTGGAGATTAAATGGGATGCCCTTGGTACTATGTCTGGAACTTGGAAATTCTCATCATGTTGGAATGTGGACAGCAAGGGTGAGAAGTCCCAGTGGGTGAGCTTAGATCCAGGTGTGGGGTATGTGAGGTTGGGAGGGGCTGCCTGCATGAACAGGGCCCTTCATACTCTGGAAAATGAGGGAGCAGCAGGAGAGCTTCTGTCTCCTAACACAGGGCAGGAGAATTCCCTGAGTGAAGGAAGAATTCAAAAAGAAAGAGGGAGGAAATCACACCTTCTTACAACTTTGCTGGAACTGGGGCTTTTCAATTTTCAACTAATCATCTTATCACATTTATTGATGTTCCTCACTGGTTTTAGCAAGGCAGATGCCATTTAAAATGTACGAGTAGGCCAGGTGCAGTGGCTCATGCCTGTAATCCCAGCACTTTGGGAGGCCAAGGCAGGCAGACCACCTGAGGTCCAGAGTTCGAGACCAGCCTGTCCTACATGGCAAAACCCCATCTCTACTAAAAATACAAATATTAGCTAGGTATGGTGGTGGGCACCTGTAGTTCCAGCTACTTGGGAGACTGAAGCAGAAGAATCACTTGAACTGGGGAGGCAGAGGTTGCAATGAGCAGAGATAGCACCACTGCATTCCAGCCTGGGTGATAAGAGCAAGAATCCATCTCAAAAAATTAATTAATTAATTAATTAATTAATTAATTGAAGTGTATAAGCACATTTTTTTCTTGGAACTGATATTCCATGAGTACATTTTTAAATAGATATTCTACTGCCTGGTGCAGGTACATCAGCGGTAACCCTTGCTCTGTGGGCACATCAAAAAGTCAAGAGAAAATGCATGTATTACCTTCATCGGGGACCTTCCCACCTCCAATATTTTTAAACTTCTGATCTTAGAAGATCCCCTAAAGGTTAATTAAAAGCTTTACTTTCCAGCCTCTGGTGTATTGTGCTAAATATATTTGTTAGTGCAGATGTCAACAG